AAATGACTTTTGATGCATAATCCCCCCATAACTCTGCATGGAGTCGGGCAGGATCCGTTGGATTCAACAGGCCACTTAAGAAGTTCAGCGACATCTCTGATAGTCAAACTCGTCGATGGTAACTCTATCGAAAGAATTTGTATGTTAGCATGACATATACTGCAATAAGGTTAGATACTTTTTAACCTCCTTGGTCTGTCTTAATGAAAATGTAACATTGTGTGCAAAAATCCAAACTCCAATGAGAATTAAAGGGAAGTTTAACAGCAGAAGGTTCTGTAGATGTCACTTTTCTGATTCCCAAAAAGGAGTAAAAGGAGAAAGTAAGGCTAACTTGCCTGCATTTTATATTGCATTGAAAACTGACATTACAGGTGTAGGCAGTTTACATGAAAATAACACACTTGTACTGTACCTGCTCTTACGCATAGCTACATGTAAGTATGCGATTTTCAAAAACTGGTGCTACAATAGAGAAGGTTCTAAACCCATACACATTTTCTAACAGACATGAAGAAAAGTACTGCTGTGTTTGATAATATGTGTAGAAAAGAATACTCTGAGTCATGTAATGTACAAGCTTGTGCTGATAACTGTGCACCATACAGTACGCATACTTATAGGAGACGCTATTAAAGATTGTACCAAAGTCATGATATTATGAAACAAGTTGAAACTGTAATTTCCAACACAAGAAATTGGTTACCAACTGTGGGTTTTGGTCTATTGGCCGTATCTAGAGCCCAAGTGGGGTACCCACACTTTCTTAGTGCCTGTGATTAGTGTCAAGATTTAGAAGAGGAGAAAGTTCACATTTCACAGGAAAGTGTGGGTACCCCACTTGGGCTCTAGATAAGGCCAATAGACCAAAACCCACAGTCGGTAACCAGTACCAGAACAGGAACAAGAGCCCGAATAGAGGCCTAGTTGTCCTGCCCTACAGAAAAGGCCTTAGTGAAGGGCTCAGGAGGATCTTTGCTACATACGGGATTAAGACCTGTTTTAAACCAACCCAGAACCCTCCGGAACATACTGGTTTCACCAAAGGACAAAACACCAAAGGAGAGCAAATGTGGGGTGGTGTACCACATACAGTGTCAAGGACAGAATTCCAAGGGCCCATGTAAGGAAACCTATATCGGAGAGACTGAAAGACCGCTCAAGGCTAGGTTCCTAGAACACAAACGACCTAGCTCAACTACCTCTGAGGTTTCACAACACATACATGCATATAGAATCCCCTGGACAAAGTAAAGTCCAGCAAATTCTCACTGGACAAAGTAAGAATCTTGGACACAGAACCGGATTTCTTTGCACGAGGGATTAAAGAGGCCATCCCTCAACAGAGACGGGGGCGCCACAGACTCTCTGCAACCTATGATCCACTGCTCACGGAGTCACGTGTGTTATCTACGTGACGTCACGGAAGCGGTGGATTGCTCGTTCCTTGAAAAAGACTGGAGTTGTACAGTCGAAAATTTGGGTAAGTCCAATCTCTTGTGTTGGAAATTACAGTTTAAACTTGTTTCATAATGACTTCTACCAACACAGATGAACAAGATAAAGTCATGATATATCTATAATCTATTTAAAAACTAGAGTTCGGCGATCTCATACCTCCATGACATGTTTATTGCTTTCGTAAATCTTACGCATGGTGATGACCACCTGCAAATGGGTTACATTTACAATCCTGCTCATTAGCAAAATCTTTATTTGCTAATTATTCACATAGCCTCTACCTAGTAACATGCAACACACTGGTGAAATCCTTATCATTTGGCATGGACAACGTATGATGTTGTTGGTTATATGCAAGCACGACCTCTGACATATCTTTGCCAACTCATTTTTGCCTTCAAAGCTGATTAATTATACATTTTCCACTGCGAATTTGCAAATTATAAGAGCCCATTGGCATATATAGTATCAGTTGATCATACTCTCCACCCAATGGCAGGGTTATAGGGAGAAATAAGGCTATTCTAGCGTTTCATCATAAATTATGCAAATAAGGTCCTGATTTAAATGAATAATGTTCAGTGAAATACAGCAGATTTATAGAATTTCCTCATTAATTATGCAAATTAGATCCTGATTTGCATAATTGGTATCTGTTCATGTTTCATCTGCCATAGATTACATACATTGCATGTATGAAACTACTATAATGTAAAACACTGTAATTATAAATCTTACTCATTAATTATGCAAATAAAGTCCTCATTTGCATAATTTGCATCTTATTATGTACATCTCCAAAATGATGAAAATACTTTGTTCCTTTCTGGACTTATAAGCTTTTAAAGATATCGCCCGAAAGTCCCCTGCAGTTCCAGAACAAGCTGCTAGGGAGACCAAACCCACACCACTTATTCCTGACAGGACAATCTATCTGTCACCAAAAATCAAGACCATAGCATGGTCAGGACAAAAGATAGAAAAAACAATTCTGCTGTAGTACCAAGGTCATCCACCAGGAGGCCCATATTTAACCTTGACCTTCGTCTTCCAGCATACCAAATATCATCACAATCTATAAAGGCGTTATGAAGTTATGCTGGCCGCAGATGTGCGGAAACACAAACACACACACACACACACACACACACACACACACACAGACGCGCCAAAAACAATACCTCAATTTTTCATGGAGGTAATAACACAGGTTGTTTGTTTTCAAACACACAGCTTATACTAACCCTAACCCTAAGCCTGAAATAGGTCGCCTTTTCCCCTGAGGGACCTCATTTATCAAACCGGGGATTGCCTCAACATAGCCACACATCTGTAACCCGGCGCCTGGCTCGCATAAGTACAAAGGAGATTCCTCATTACACCGGAAGTGCTGCTACAGTACCAAGGCCATCCACCAGGTGGCCCATTTTTGACCTTGGCCTTCGTCCTCCTAAGACATACCATATCTATGGCAATCACTCGTGATCTTTATTTGCAATCAAATACAGATTCATTTACATATACATAGTAATGTACAGATACAGATTCATGTACAGATATACAGATACAGACTTTCCGAGTACGATTACCGTGTCAATCCCTACACCTGAGTGAGGGTTACAGTTGACACGGTGGCCTTCGCGTAAATTTGTTTAAGGTGGATAACAGGTTGCGAATCTGAGACCCACACACTTGGGCATCCGTCTTCCCCAGCGGATCCATATCGAGGGAGACGTGCTGGTTCTGGTTGGGATGCTTGCAGCGAGCTGCCGGATGACTTGGTAACACTCAATTTCCGCCTTGTCTACGCCAGCCCGCCTGGCGCTGCTCTCGTCCGCCAGCTGAAGACAACTGCCGTTGGAGACTTGTCCCTCTAATTGAGGGGGGATACGTGTAAAGTGCCTTTCCCAAGGGCACAACGTCGGTGTGCATGTTCGGACATGCCCCTGTGCTCCGACCCGGAATCGAACCCGGGTCTCTGTGTTGAGCGCCGAACGCTCTGTCCACTACGCCACGCTCTGTCCACTACGCCACGCGACGCCACTAAGACATACCAGCATACCAAATATTATTACAATCCATAAAGGTGTTATGTAAGGTCGTAATTAACAGTTTAATTTATGGTTTTCTAAAGTCAAATTACAATATTTTGCGTGAGGAATTCCTATGGCAATATTTCATGTCCTCATTAATTATACCTCTACATTAATAAAATATATGCTTAGTGATGTTAACCTTTAAGTAACTTAGACATGTCACAAGGTATAAAATTCCCATCATTCACCATTAATAAATCGCTAAATTTTCACATCAATTATGGAAATTAGGCCATTATTTGCATAATTGGTATCTGTTGATGTTTCACCTGCCACAGATTACATACATCACATGTATAAAAGTACTATCATGTAAGGCACTGTAATTGCAGATTTCCTACATAATTATGCAAATTATGTCCTCATTTGCATTTAATTATGTACAATTTTCTCTTAGCTACCTACACATCAAATATGATGAAAATATCGTGACTGATTTGCTTTTAAAGATTTCGCCAGAAAACCTCTGCAGTTCCAGAACAATCTGTTGGGGGACCAAACCCACATCACTTATTCCTGACAAAAAAAGCTATCTGTCACCCAAAAGTCAAGACCATAGCATGTTCAGGACAAAAGATACAAAAACCGGAAGTTCTGCTGCAGTACCAAGGTCATCCACCAGGAGGCCCATATTTGACCTTGATCTTTGTCTTCCTAAGACGTACCAGCATACCAAATATCATCACAATCCATAAAGGCGTTATGAAGTTATGCTGACTACAAATGCGCGGAAACACAAACACACACACACACACACACACACACACACACACACACACATAGACACACCAAAAACAATACCTCCATTTTTCATGGAGGTAAATACATTTGGGATATGACCAAGTGACCATACATATGCTTTTCTTGGGGCCCAGAAAGGGTAACCAGGCAAGGTCTTCCGCACCACCTCTTAAGGAAACTCTTTGTTTACTCATTCACCAACTCTCTCGTAACCTGAAGCTTGTTGAAATACAAAGCCTCCGATCTTGCGAGGTTCAGACTTACTTGCAATTAATCAGATGCCAAACCTACATCTGGTCTCGATCCAGCTTACTGCTGTCCTCTCGGCTGACACTCAAGTCCTAATCTTAGGATTGCGGATTATAAGGCTCGATCAGCACGGACGCGTGTATGAAAGAAAGGCCAGACAACATTGAATAAATAAATAGATTGCAGCACAAAACCCCCTCACAGGTTAAACATTGGGTGGTGTATTGTAGCGCTTGCACACACTTCAAATCTTTGGGTGGACAAGTTGGTCTTTTAGCTGATTTGAACAAAAATATGGCCAAGGAGTTGCACTTCGCTCTCTATAACAATTAGTAACAGTGCCCAGGTTTGATTTTTCGATGGTTACTAAGGAACTACTTATTCATTACGTAAACGGTTTCGTGTGTCGCGGTTGAATATGTAAATGTTTCAGAAGCAAAGTGGCCCGGAAGCAGCACCAGTCTACTACCATGGGGAGCAAAGGCTCAAAAAAGGGGAGTGAGCCTAGTAAGTTAACATTCACGAAAAATTGCAACTATTGCTTTTGGTGTGTGTGTGTGTGTGTGCGCGCGTGTGTGTGTGTATACGTATGTGTGTGCGTATGTGTATGTATATAAATTTCATCGAGGAAGGGTGTGTGTGTGTGCGCGCGCGTGTGTGTAAATGAATATGTATACGTGTGTGCGGGAGGGGGGCGGCAGTGTGTGTGTGTACTTGTTGTAAGCATAACTCAAGAGTAGGTCTTAGGCAGACAAAGGTCAAAAAGGTCTAGGTCAAATCTGGGCCTCCTGGTGACTGACCTTGGTAGAAGTTACGGTCCTTGCATCTTTGTCCTGTACATGCCATGTTCTTTACCGACAGAAGCAATGTATGAAAATAGAGTCTGCAATAGAAGAAAAAGGCACGCTCAGTCAGTTTTACTATAAAGTATTTAAAGTAATCGTGTTTTATCTTAATGTTACAACATATAAGTTTGTAGTAATTGGTGTGTTAAGCATGTCGCTTAGCAAACATCCCTAATAATGCCCCAAAAATGTCAAGCCGAAGCAGTGTGTTATGTGGATCAGTATGATCCGATTTTGTGTCGTAGTACCTGAATGTACAAATCAGGTATTGTTATGAATTAAGACAACGTGTAAAACCTTTTCAGGAAACAGGGGATTATTTGCTAATTATATGAGTCCAGAGAAAGGTAAGGCGCACCCTTGTATTTTGAACATTTCTACAGGTTACTTGCATTGGGTTGTAAATCTTGCACTTTTTTGCATGCATATTTGCATAATCATGTTGTACAAGTCACCATCCTCTGCTTTAATATGGCCGATAACAATTTTCTGTTAAACTTTCCTTTTCTAGCAGCTCAAGAGCAGGCACGAAGGCAAACAGAGCATGCTCAAGAAACAGGTATACTAACAGATTTACTGTAAAATTCTACGCAATACTTAGCCCAAAATTTTGCAGTAGCATGTCGACCAAATACATGTGTATGAATGCTGACTCTGACCAACAGGCTCCATAACAATTCTACTTTCAACAATGTTGTAACAATTGATAGTCTGGTTAAGTACAGGTTGCGAGTGTTCTGCGTGATATTGTAAGAGTAGGTAATTTTAATCAATTAATTAGGTTTATATGTGTAAGCTAGTATTAAGATAAACTATCATCTCATACAAAAAATCTCGCCTTATAATTGCACAATATAGTTTTGTGATCAAATGCAACTATGCACTAGAAAATTAATTCACCAGTCAGCAACATAGTAATAAATCTAAATGTATATTCCCTTCCAGGTGCCCAAATCAATCTGGCAACACATACTAAAAAGCGAGACGAATTTATGAAGGCTGGAACATTAGATGACAAACCTGCCAGCTTCATTCCTTGGGTTGGAGATGTGCTTGCATCTAAATTGGCGGACAATGGATTCACAAAGGTTAATCAACATTTGTCAGAGACAAACCATTGCTTGCTATCTTGTATTTAGTATTTAGTGGTATAGATCTTTTTTTAAGAATTATGTTTTGAAAGACGATACAGTAGAGGATGTGTATGACGGGCCTTATTTTAACATGGTACTTTTTTTTCAGGCCGTGCAAGTAGTGGGCCAATACATGGCTTTGAATAGAGATAAGCACAAATTCAAGGAGTGGATCAAATCAATTGCTGACAATGCCAAAGGTGAGGAAATTTATAACGCAGTGAAGGACTGGTGTGACAAACATCTGAAAATATAACATTTCAAAATTGCAAATGCTTTCTTCTGTGCGATCCTCACCTGGTATGGTTGGTCATTCCACTGTGGATCTGAGAGTGGATGAAATAACAAATGGGACTATCCTCTCAATACGAATCTTAAACGTTGGAGTAATTTATTCTTAAGATAAAACAAGCAAATAGCTGTGGTATCATTAAAAATCTTGATGACATTGTGATCTTGTACATAAGTTCCACTGTTTGCCAAACATTGTTAATCATACATGTAGCTGTCCCAAGAATAGACAAGTACTAGCTTTGGCATTGATGCAGTGTAAGTAGTCATGTTACTTAATGAAACAAAACAAAACAAAACAAAAACATCTAAAAAGGCGACAACCAGGCAAGATATCGTGTCTTTGAAGATATCGAACTTTGCAAGTATCTAAAATAATAGCAACGTGCTTTCACATGTTGAAAAGGATGCTGAAAAGAATACCATTATGTAGTCGCTATATATGGCGCCATCGAGTAATATATTGGAAACAGAACACCTACGCACATTAAACGGGTAAGTTTCTGTTTTTGGTACCACGCAAGTGACTGAGTCTGATTGAAGACGAGAGTCATTTTATTGTAGACTGTACTCTATATGATAATGAGTGAAAGATTCTCTTCAATTGTATACAAGATTTTCCCCTAGTTTTAGAATATTAGATAGAAAAGAAAAATTCACATTCCTCACGAAACTCGATAACCCTCGTACTATTAGCTCCATCTGTTCTTACATTATATAACTGTTTTAAGAAGCGAGAAGAAGCAGAACCTGTACATATGTAGTTTTACTATAGATATATTTTAGTCTACCATTATTTTTTGCCGTGACCTGTACTTAGTTCGCATGTTGAGCATAAATGTACAATAAAGGTCTTTCATTCATTCATAAAGTGTTGTGTAATACAAGTATTTCTTTTCTGATATGTTAAAAGTACGAACACCAATGATGTCGACATTGCCTCTTGCTTGCGCAATGTCGGGCAGATTAGGAAATGTAGCCTCCTTCGCAGACACCTGGAAGAGGTGGTGTTTAGTGTTTTTAGAAGGCCTATGGGAACGCTGATACTAGTACTCGATTTTTAAACGCACTAACTTCTCTAACGCGGCAAAGGGAATCACGCCCCTCTCTACTGCGGGCGACGATGCAGCTCTCCCCCGAACAAGGCCGGACCTCCCCCCGAAAAGGGAACCGCCGATTTAGGCGCTCGTAAAAACAAATGCTGCCCCGCTAGAAGGCTGATAGGAGGCTACGGAAATACTCGTACGGTTAATGCACAGCTCAAAGGTTGGTCTGCAAATCACCTGACGCTTGTTAGATCGTCGGGTCACACCAGGTACACATGACAACCAATATGGAAGGAACGCTGCACCCTGTAGTGTCAACATACTGGAGTACGCTTGTCAATACTCAGACCGGAACAGACCAAAGACCAAGAGTTACCAACAGTGTAGCACAAACTTGCTGACAAAATGAACAATTTACATATTGAGAGGACACTTTTATGTTTTTCACCAAACGACATTTAATTCAATTATATTTGTTATAGACTTAATTGAAAAAAGATGTTTAAAAAACGCAATTTCGGCAGACCATTGTGGCACTCTTAGTGATCAGGGTTTATATCTCTACCCAGCTTTAGGAACTACTTATTACTTACTTTTGTCGCGGATGAATATAGGCGGTAACGCGACGAGACAAGGTACGCATTTGACTCCGCGGCCACCTGTCCACAGATACCTTTACACATGAAGAAATATGCATAATGGGCCAAGCTTTTTGTTCTTGTTTACACATTCATGCTTGCACGCCCAAAATGACATTTGACCTCCGCACAGGGTGGGTTCATGTTTACCCGAGCTTTGGTCTATTGAGCACGAGAGGTAGCGTACCTCTAGTATAGTATAAGAGAGTCAGACATAGGTCCAACTGATACATTGGACTTTGAAAATATATTACCTTCTTTAAAGCCTCGTTGATATAATGTGACATCGTTATAACAGACTGATGAGGATCATATCACCAGGACTCTTGAATGCGTTGTGTTTGTCAAGAAAGGGATACCTAGTAGTCCTTCTATGAAGTTAACTCATGACAAGCCCATGATAGGCTGAATTGGTGAAAAAAAAATCTTATTGTATGCCCGAACATTGTGGGAAAGACATAATTCTATCTTACGCTATCATTAAAATGGGGAAAATTGTTGAACACCTACGTTTCAACTGATGTTGACGACACAATAATTGAAGGTGGAAATGTAATTTTAACAACGTTTTGTACATGTACGGGACAGGCGCTGGAAGTTTAAGTGTTACTGAATTAGTCACTGCGGCGTTATGTCTAGACGATGTTTTAAAAGTTCTGATATAATGTTATTCCAGACTACAAAGGAGAATTGAACAGGTGCCACGTGGCTTCCTGTATCTGTATTTATTTATAATTTTGCTCTCTTCTTCTTGTTGAGAGCCCTCATTATCTGTGCAAAATCAAAGCCCTTAGTCATAATGAGAATGCAGACATTTATTGTACATACGTACATTGTCTATCCATAGTATATATAAGTCATAGGGATGTAGATTGCTCAACGTATGCAACATTGTAACTTACATAATTATTGGTATTCTTCACAGCTGGAAATATCGTTTCGTTGCAGATAGGACATTTTTTCTGTCTGTGATTTTCCATGTTATAGAACCAAAAACAGAATACTCCCCAATTCCAATTGGTGCTTTAACGACTGGGCTTACAGATTAAAATATGACAGTGATAGGTCATGATACTACATGTATAGTGGCTACTTTGAAGGGATCTTTACCTTGTTCACATTTGAGGCATCCTAATAGTTTGTTTCAATCTATTTTTGTCAGGCAACATTCTTTAATTCTCGATCCTCTGGATGAATAAAGTAGAAGTTCTTAATCTTCCCATTCTTCAGAAATCCTCCCATCCAGAATTCCTTGCGTTCCTCTATGGCTTTGCCTTCCCAATAGGTCACTCCACCCGCCGTCCTCGTCCTTCCCGAGGCTTGTGCTTCGTTGTAAGCAGTCAGGCAGAACGTTTTGAGTTTGTCTTCTGGCCAGAGTTCTGGATCGTAGACAGTTTTCAAGTACGGCTCGAATTGGAACAAAATCCCACGCCTTGGACATTCACTTTTTTCACCCTGGGCACTTGCTTTGGACTTGCTCTGTCGTTCAGTTTTCTTACCGTGAGCATTTGATTGCCGTCTGCTCGGACGCTCACTCTGGGCGCTCGATTGCTTGTTGCAGTCACAGTTCGTACAGGAGACCATTTCCCAAACCTTGTCGTTATATGGAGCAATTCCTTGCGATTTATCCGAGTCCGGACGGTCGACATCGGGGCGGCACGTCACCAGAACGGTGTATACCCCCTTGGGCAGATTGTCTCCCGGTAGTTTCTTGACTGCCGCCACCACCAGCCCCCTAGACTGAGCTTTTAGCAAAACTTGGAGATCATGGCACCCAACCACTTTCTTATTCTTGGTTTTGAATGATTCATTGTGCTCGAAAGCCCCCGGCAAAAAATGATTTTGTATTGTTGCGTGCGCGGCCATGATGAAAAGACGCGTACTGTACAGTTGTCCAGACTTCCTCCTTTGGAAAATTCATTAATGGGCAGCATATATACTGTCCAGCTAACGCATCTTATGGTGAAGACAGGTATGTTCTTTTTTATGTTTCCGACACCCAGCATGTATAGCGATCGGTCCCTGGCACACCTGTCTGACGTCATGGGGGGTCGCTTAGCAACCTTAAGGGCACCAATAGCGTACATCGGCCTTATCATGTGACGTCTGGTGTACCTGATACTTTTGTTCGACGCACCCGTCGATCGTAGACAGGGCGGACATGTTTTTTTTTCTGGAGTAACCGTATTTCTGACGTTAGTATGAAGGTAATACGGCTGCCAACATGACTACACGTACCTGGGAACACTTGTTTACGTGTAAGTGGACTGTCGAAGGGCAGTTGGATATCACAGGGTTTCCTGAAGATATGCCCATGAGTTTGCAGTTCTACTTAACCTCCATAAGGCCAGAAAAATGGCCACGGGCTCTGAAGTTGATCCAGCAGGGGGAAGGGCACTGCTTCGCCAACGAAATTGGAATCTTGTTTCCGTTCGACTACGAGTCTTCCAGCAGCGAGGAAGACCAACCTAGCAGAGGACCGCTACCGGAAGATGAAGTCGAATTCTTCGCTGGGTACTTCCCAAAGGACAGAGTAAAGAAGAACGTGTTTCTTCAGATTGTTGAAAAGTGTTTGGACGAACGCAAGAAATCATTTTGCCCTTTGGACCGTGAAAATGAGTTTCTGGACTACGTACGAAGGGAAACGACACCCAAACGTGCCATGTATCAAGACTTACCGGAACCCGGAAGCACAGGTGAGATTGTCGTGTCTTTACCATAAGACGTATGTGCTTTCTATCATGTTCTCCATTCGATCGTTTATTTTTATCCTTGTCGTAGCCCCTAAAGGCCCTAGTACTTCCGACCCAGCTTTTATAGGAAGACTACACCAGAAAGTTTGCAAATCTACCCCTCAACATACGAACAGGTCGTGGGTATGATTTGATAAATGTAGACAGACCAATTGAAGTCTAGATAATGTGTTTTAGGCAAGCTTCGTGAATTCTTTTGGCAACTCGTTAATCACCCTCAAGCTTTTATAGAGATTCTTTATTGACACAACAAAAAGTACAGGGACTTTTGTATGGCCGTCTACAACTAAAGATCTAACAGAGGTATAGATCTAACAAGGTTAACTACATGTATGAATATCTTCATCCTACGTACGGAATACATGTATATGTACATGTATGTGGCAAATTACGTACAGAGTATATATCATCTTTATAGCCAATATCTTAATAGTTGGCGTAGACAAGCTCATCTCATGTCCATCTATGTCTGTTCTGCCACCTGTTTCCTCCATGACATAACTAATTTGAAAGCAGAATTGAAAACAGAACACCGTCGTCTAACCGTGATTTATTTTTGCATTTAGGAATAGAACGCACCACATCTGTGGATAGCCTGGCATTTCCGACGACCTCAAAACAGACCGGCATCGTTCATCCGTTCCTGGACACTTTGAACCTCGCCACTGACATCCCAGAGGAGGACACAAACTTCACAAACTGGGTGACAAACCACGACACCAAGCAGCTAGCGCTTAGCTATAGAATGGAGACAGGAAGACTGAAAAGTTTGGAGTTAAAACACGAGATAACTAAGCGCCAAGTGGAGAGCCAAAGACACATAGTGCAACATCTCCAGAAAGAAGTCACCCGTCTTACAAAGGAGCAGGAGACTGTACAGAAAGTACTTTTGGAGGACAAAGAGAAAAACAAAGAATTAACAGAAGCCAATGAAAGTATGGAAGCCATTATCAATGACCTTCTTGCACAAAAGACGAAACTGACAAACAAACTGGCCATAGTAGGGCATGAGGAACACGTGCCACACAAGAAAGCTTTAGACGAATCTGTACCCGAGGAAACTGTACCATCAACGCATTGCCAAATGGAGTCAGGTAAATGTAAAATGTATTTGTTTTTATATGTCATAGACTATGTATCTATCAATTTTGACGTTTTCTTCATGATCAGCTCCATGTTGTCTTTGCTTTGTGATTTGCTCCTTCATTTATTACTGATTTGGCAAAAGGGAAAGAACAAGAGTCACTCCGGATATGGATGAACCCCATTTGTTCAGTAGCAACAAAGAGAGGTCTTGCTTTCTTAGCTGTTACATTTTTGAAAATTCGTTGTTTAAAACATTAGCCAACCTCTGGCTCCTGTGGTAGCACCTCACTTCGTCATTTATATGGATGACTTTTTTTCCAATTTGTAACTTCTCTTTTAGTCGCCATTAATTTCCATTATCACCATCAAATCCGATGCTCATTGTTTTTCAGTATGGCAGGCCTAATACAATCAATCAAAAGCCATCAAAAGTAAAGCCAGTAGGTGCTGTGATTGAGTCATTGTTGCTAATCAGGCCTCTAGGTCATTCTATATAGTGAGGATACTTTTTCCATATACAGAAATGTCACATACAGCAATGGACCTTCATCAGCTGACAACATCCCGTTCCACGGCTGACACACACAAGGTCAGTAATTGTATTTAGACTTGTAAGTCTTCAGACTTGTAAGTCTTGCATCTTACAGTCAGTGTAATAGTTAAACAAAAATTGAACAAGGAAAATCTTAGATTTTATGCCTCCGGGTAGTTTAGTGTATTTCTTATATGTTATTTCTTATGTGTAGTTGATTTTATTGAATTTAATGTGTTAGATTTAGCATTCCAGACCTGGATCTAGACCTATTAGCCGAGCGATTTGAGAGTTGGATTTTGATGCTGGTGCTCGAGAGGTCGTGGGTTCGAACCCCGGCCCGGGACCAGGGGTTTCTTTTTGTTTCTACTACTCGCGTCTGTCTTTTACACAAGGGTTTACAATTTGTGTGGGTTTAATGTAAATAATGTATGTACATTTTATTCATATATGCATTAATCTTGCATATATTTATGAAGCATATTTGCATATATGGGAAGATACCATGCTCCCGTAACAGCGCGCACGGAAGCAACTTTTCTTTGTTTAAAGATATGCATAGGCAAAAGTACCAAAGTAACGGGTTCCTTTCTCAGCACTAGGTGAACAGAAGTTTGCATAGCCACATTTAGTGAAAATATGCACAATTCAAAGAACTTTTTAATTACATTCGTTCAACCCGGAAGTGTGTACACCCCTGTTAGACGCCTAGAAGGCCCTAGACAATCGACGACACGAGCCGCGGCCGTGAAACCTTCGGCGTGACGGTCCGGTGCTCTCTATAAATGTTTCCAGCCTGAAAATAATGTTCCCGAGCAGGTCGAGGTCTGTCCTGACGATGTCCCGTACTTAACCATACACTACTTCACTACCGCACCTATCATATTATGTAAAGGAATGGTGATCTCACGCTTACCCTCCAACCCTACGATTGTAACCAGTAACATAGCAGCGCCTTGTTGACAACAAATACCTCCTTCATCAACACCGAGCACCCCTGTTTGCGAAGCGTACAAACAAAGATGGATCGAACCGATAACACCATAAACACACCAAAGGTCAACCCGCACGACCATTTTCAGACTCAGAAGGGGTGTCCGGCAAACGCAAAAAAACAATTAATTTTTACGCCCAAAAACACATATACAAAAAAAAACGTGCACCATCTACAGCCCAATAACAAAACATATGCGAACACCCAATTACATGCGTCCACCATAACGCGAGATACAAATGCGATCACTATCCTTTCTTAAAATTTTACGTGGAACAGACCGTCAATACTTAATACACGCCAAAACTCATGGTTACAGGGGTGCCTGTCTAAACACATCGTTTTCACGCCCGAAAATACAAATACTATAAAAGCAAAACGACGTGCACCATCTATAAAAGAAACAGCAGAACGTATACCGAGTAAAAAAAAAACAACCGTATACCCGAACGCGACAAACAGCTGCGTACATAAAATACCTTCATCTCTCACAATACCTCTACGCGGAAGGATATCTCCTTCTCCGGAGGTAATTAAGATGTTTATACAACACGTATTTTACGTTCATTTGGTGTTATTAAAATATACTTGCATATTAAACATGTAAAGCAAATGTACATGTGTTCATGCATGAAGTCAGTTGTTTAACTAGGCCAAAGTAAAGGTCTCTGCTGGAGGTTTAGAAAATATAAACTTTGAAAACAACTTTGTTCCTGATCAAGATACCCCCCCCCCAAAATGACGTCAAATCAATGAAACATTAGTATAGACATTTTCTGTGCATACTTAAGTTGGCAACTTAGTTTCATGCTAAGATAAACCATAAATCATCAAATTTTCTGCTATATGAATGACTAGTTTGTTTGATTATAATAACATGTTTACAATACTGAATGGAACAACATATTTAACAAACCGATGAACCATTATATGTTCAGGACATAGCAGATGTCAAAGAAAAGGGGGATGGAGATCCTGCTGTGCATGATGGGAAAAGATCTGCCAGCACTCAAGACCAGTCAAGGTGGGGGAAATTATTATTAAAAAAAAAAATTGATACCTCATCATAGACTTGTACATGTATCTTTTGTTTAGAATTCTGTTATACATGTCTCAATATTTTAGAAAGTCCAGATCCATGGCACAACTGTGCACTTCAAAATCTACAAAGTGACCTGACTTTCAACATTATAAGTTAAAGAAGGATGGTTTGGCTATTACATTTGGCTATAACGTCTTTGATTTAATGATAGGTAAATCAATTTCTTTCAAACCTCGAGCATCCAGTTAGTTACATTAAATAGTTTCTACTACATCTAACTACTACATCCTACTACTATCTAAAGGCTTGTATTTTCAATGTAGTGGTGGAGAGAAATTAACCTCTTGATATGCAGTGAGAAGTATCCGAGGCTCCTTGATAGTATTAAAAGTGATACAATTAATTAGTATTGCTGATGAATTTTCCTTTGCCATACAGGACAACATCAGTACCTGCAGATAGAAACATGACAAGCTTGCCAGAGGATCTGAGGGTTGTGGCAATGCGTCTCACTACAGCAGCTGGCCAGGAGAGAGGTGCACTGAAAGGTGGTACAGCACACAAGGAGGGTGAAGCATTGATAAGTCTTGCAGACAGGCATCTTGAGAAAGGAAAGGTCAGTAAAGATTCAACAGAGTTTGACAAGGCTGCCGGCCTGTATGCTGCTGCCCTGCTCCAATGCACAGATCCAGATATTGGAGAGACAACAGAGCATCCAATCGGCTTCACAGAGAAAGCAGACTATGACAGTACTGCTGAGGGCAATGTGTTAAGGGTTGCAAAGATTTGTTTCAAAGTAGACAGGGGCAGATCTGTCTGGGGGGGTTACGCTGTTGAGGAGGAGTACAGAAAGACATTAGTAACAGCTATCACAAAAGGCGACACATTGTTGGAACAAGAGGTTCTGAAATCTCTGGGAGATCGGCACCTTGAAAAAGGCAAAGCAATGCTTGATGTATCACAGTTGTCCAAAGCAGCTGCCTTGTACAACAAGGCACTGACTAGGTGTGAGGGGTCAGACGGGAAACAGACGCTACTTCATCGCATCAGGTACACAGAGAAGCTGGAGGAATACATCAAACAGGTGAGATACCTACTGGCAATTGGGTTTTGCTTCATTCAAAAGCAAAGTAGGTTTTTAAGAATTGAGAATCTGAGATACATACTTTTTTATGTAGCAAACAAATAAGTAACCAAAATGTTTGTATGACAATGATCACAGTAAAACAAAGGTCTATACATGTATAAAGGTTACTCATCAAGGAGTTAAACATAATGCAGACCTTGATAAATCTGTACATCTTGTGTCAATCCAGATGATCCACATTTATCATCTTCATTTACACTATACACAAAAATACAATCACTCATAAAACCTAAAAGTTTAGGAACAGGTAGTTACAATCAGCATTTTCTGCATCACAGGTCAAACATAAGTTAGAGTATATTTCTTATAATTCTTAATTATTTAGTGGTAAAAGACTTGCAAAATATGAAAAATCATCATCATCATCATCACAGCTGATGAATATCAAAATACTCTAATGTTATGTCTTCCATGTTTTACAACAGAAGAAAAGACGATCTGCTATGAAGAGAAAGGAATTCATCACCAGACAAGTAGAGATCAATGAACGGCTAAGGTAAGAAAAATTGATATGATCTGTATATCACAGGGCGGGGGAAGTATAGGTCCTGTTACTCCTGGAGTTATAAGTGTAACTGTCTCCTGCACTCATGTAGTCTTGGTGCCTAAAGTATGTAACTTTTCTCCATATCCAAACTCCCAGGAACATTGTACTGTCCCATATATACCTTCCTTTCAGTTTCAGTATAAAGTGAAAAAGTATTGATTTTACTTTGCATATTTTATTATTGGTCATCATGGGTGTAGCATTCACCTCAATAATTGAAAATGGGGCAAAGGAATGGTTTGAACTTTGTCTATACATTCTACCATTAAAAGCTAATCATGCCCAGTAATGACCAGTATGTTATATATAATTTATACAGTCTACAATATACATGTATATTTCACATATGATAATTTTACATATTATGTAAAATATTTTTCAGACGGAACCGATTGCAAGAACATCTTAGACAACTACAGAAGCCTGCTTTTGACTTAGCAGAGGAATACTTTTCAGATACCGGTATGTTGAAGTCAGTACAAACACCAGTTATGTTATCAAATGAAAATAAAGAATTAAAAAAAAAGAGAAAGGCCACAGGCTTGGCTTGCCTTCATTGACTGCTTTTCCTCAAATCTGACAATAAATATAATCATATTTTAGTATAAGGAGGGGAAGACCTGGAAAACAGTGACTGTGTAATGAAGCATTATTCCTTCGTAATGCTCGAAAATATTCCTGACAACAATCAATTCAACCCAGACCATGTCATAAACATCAATTTGTACAATTTTCTTCAATTATTGCCATGGCATGTACTCTCAGACCCCACAGTGAAACAATACCAGAGAGATGAGAAGCCTGTACGCACGTTGGCTGATGTAAATAAAGAAAGAATAAAGCAGGCAGGAGATGGGAGAAACACAGAAGCATTCCATATGACAAGGTAAGGGTAACGTGTCTAAAGTCAGTTGAAATAATTGCCACCTCGCAAAATATCTTTTGCTAGATGACAATTAAATCACTTCAATGTATCAGTGTATTATCATGATGATTATTACATAACAGCAAGCATATAGAAGAATGTCGAAGATGAAGAAGCAAGCATAATATCTATTAAGTACTGGAATAAATGTAATTTGTACTAAATCAAGTCTCATCAAAATAACCCAATGCCCTACTTCTGATTTCAGGCAGTACAGTGACCACTTTAAAAAAGGTGAATCATCGCTCGCAAGGGCAGACCTGGACTCAGCAGAGCAGCATTTTGCAGCTGTACTTAAGACAGTGCATGTAAGAGGTAAGACAAAGCTCAGAAAACTTTAAATGGAATTACATTGAAATTTGAAAAAATAATACATCTACCTGCATTTTTGAATCTATTAACTTTCAAATCCATGCACATTGTACTTTCTTAACCATGTACATTGTACTTTTTTAAAGTGAAATGAATCATAAAAGTTAGTCTTAGCTACATTGAGAATCATTTCCCCTTTTGCAACAATGTACAACTCAAGATCTAGACTGAATGGACATACATGTATGTACCAATGCCAATGAGGATAGCTTGTTCAGTCGTATGTAACTAGTACACATTATATATTAGCTAGTTGTTCATGATGGTAGAAATTTTAACCGGTTATTTGTGACTAGATCCCACAGCCCAGCAGTACCAGAGAGAGGTGGAGCCCCTGTGCAAGTTGGGGGATGTCTACAGTAAACGTGGTCAGCAGACAGGAGAAGGCGGAGACTTTGTCAAAGCAGCAGCACTCTACAATGCAGCAATAGCCAGGTCAGAGGATCATGTCCTCAGTGGTAACATAGGAGCAGGTATTAGAGAAGTAGAGAAGTCATTTATCAAATGTGTCTTAGGTGTTGGCTTAGGTTTCAATGTGAACCAAGATAACACAGAAAGACATAAGAAACAGCTGAAGGAGATGCGGGACCAGATCAAGCTCGAGATGGAAACCATTGACCAGCAGCTGGATCCCTATGTACATGATGAAGATGACCCATGTGTCAGAGAGATAGAGGCAAAACGAGCTCAGGCTGTCAGGCTGTTGGTTGAGAAAATTACACAACAAAGGAAGGAGTTCATCAGCCTGCTTGTAGAAGAATGTTTTGGGTTAATGGGTCCTCCTCCCTGTAAGTATGCCCTGATAGGTTTGGCCACAGAGCTGGTCACTCCATACTCAGACCTGGAGTTTGCCATCTTGGTAGAGAAAGAAAGTGAAGAATGTGTTGCATATTTCCGTAACCTCACCCACTATCTACACCTCAAGGTGGTCAACCTGGGAGAAACCATTCTCCCAGCACTGGGAATAAGAAGCCTGAATGACTTCTCTTCTCAAGACCCCCTTGATGACTGGTACTATGACTCTATCACACCGCATGGGTTTGCATTTGATGGCTCCATGCCAATGGCAAGCAAGACTCCCCTTGGTAGGCATGGATCAAAAACCAAACCACCTAATGAACTTATCTGTACCCCAGAAAACATGTGTTCAAAGTTACAAGATGATATCACATTACATTTAAAGAAGGGATATCACCTTGCCACAATCTTGAGAAACCCATGCCTCATAGCAGGAAACCAGAGTTTGATCGACACATACATGGGTACCACAGCAAAGATACTGCAAGCTGATGGAAGTAAAATGGCCCAGCAACTGACACAGGAAGCACTGAGGGAAACCAGTGAAAGCTACAATGATACGAGTACAATTACAGCAAGGTTGATTGATGTAAAGAAAGAACTGTATCGCTTCCCAACGGTAGCAATAGATTGCTTGGCTCTGTCCTCAGGCATTGTACCTACCACAGTTTGGGAGACAATAGAAGAAATGGAAAAGCAACTAGTGATCAGTTCCAACAATGCACACCACTTGAAGGTGCTTACCAGTATCTCAGCAGAGCTTAGGCTTAGAACCCACCTTGCAAATGGTGGACAGAAGGAAAACCTGTCATATTTGGTCTCAATCGAATCCCTACAGATGATTCCTGTCCATGATGAAGTACCTTCAAATGCATTGAATACAGTTTTCCACCTACCAAATGAAAAGCAGCTTTTTAGGTACTATCAAACAGCAGTTCCCCTAAAAAGTTTCTTGTATCAACGGTCAGGAGAGAGGCCAGTTCTAACTGCATGTGTTGATCATGATTTGTATGACAATTCTCCAAGAGTGCAAGGAATTATATACACTGAGTTATGTAAATACAGTCTAGCTATCAGCTCTTATGCTGAGGCCCTAAAGAAAGTTGAGACTAGCACTAATGAGAAAATGACCCTGTTAAGAAATCTTGGGGATGCTTGTCTCAGTGTGGGTGATTACCCAAAGGCGATCAGCTACAATGAACATGCACTGGAGATGTACAGGAGTATCCATGGTGAGAGTACAGCTCACCTTGACATTGCAATGTCCCTCAATGAGTTGGGGAAAGCCTGGAGTAACCTAGGTGATCAGAGGAAAGCAATCAGATACTTTGAACAGGCACTTCAGATGAAGATGAGTATCTATGGTCAGACTAAAGCACATCCTGATATTGCCATGTCACTCAACAACCTGGGACATGCGTGGTACAATCTGGGTGACATCAGAAAAGCAATCAGCTACAATGAACAGGCAATTCAAATGTACAAGGTAATCTATGGTACAAAACATCCTGAAATTGCAAAATTACTCAACCAGCTGGGGCAAGCCTTGGATCGCCTGGGTGATTATCAAAGAGCAATAAGTTACCACAACGAGGCCCTACAGATGTATATGAGTATTTATGATCTGAATACAGCACATCCTCATATTGCAGCAGTGCTCGTTTGCATGGGACGAGTTTGCCTCCATTTGGGGGATTACAGGAAAGCAATTAGCTACTACCAGCAGTCACTGCAAATGTACAAAAGTATCTATGGTCCAAATGTAGCACATCCTGATATTGCAAGACTACTCCACAATCTGGGGCAAGCCTGGGGCTACCTTGATCATCACACAAAAGCAATCAACTACCTTGAGCAGGCACTACAGATGTACAGGAGTATCTATGGTCAAACTAAAGCACATCCTGACATTGCCACGTCACTTGAAAACCTGGGGGGAGCTTGGTATGATCTGGGTGACTACAGAAAAGCTATCAGCTACATTGAACAGTCACTAGTGATGAGAAGAATTATCTATGGTGTGAATAAAGCACATCCTGACATTGCTATGTCACTCAACAACCTGGGGTCAACCTGGCTAAGCCTTGGTGATTACAGGAAAGCAATCAGCTGCTATGAACAGGCACTTCACATGCACATGGTCATCTTCGGTCATGATGCAGAACATCCACACATTACCATTTCACTCCATAACATGGGAATGGCCTGGCTACGTCTTGGTGATTACAACAAAGCAATCACGTACTTTGAACAAACGTTACAGATGTTAAAAAGTATTTATGGTCAAACTACAGCCCATCCTGACATTTCCAGGTTGCTCAACAATCTGGGAAAAGCTTGGTTCCACTTGGGTGATCACAGAAAATCGCTCAGCTATCATGAAGAGGCACTTAAGTTGTATTGGAGTACCTATGTATGACCTGGCATCATAACACTGTCATGGCAATCTTGAGAGGATAATACTGAACACTTCTCAGGTACCATGAAGAGTCACTGTTAAAATGGCCATGTCTGCAATATCTCCTTGAGGTTCGTTTTGCCTAAAATTACCTGGACTTTGTCCTACACATTTAATAAATTGGTCAAAAGCCTTTCTGGCCAACAGGGAGCAGACAGTAGTGGTGGAAGGGAAGGTTTCAGCTTCAGATACTTCAGAGTAGCGTTGGGGGTTCCACAAGGAACTATCCTGGGACAATTACTCTTCCTTGTGTACAAAAATGACCTTAGGCTACCAGATCAGCTTGATTGAAATGCGACATTATTAAATTTGCCGATGACTGTTTTAAAGTCTTGTCTACCAAGAATAATTTTTACAAAAAGATCAGAACACCCTCGAAAAATGGCAAAGTAAGTGGCTCATGCAACTTAATCCCCAAAAATACTATGTTAACAAGCAAAGAAACAAAATACCAGTTTTGTGGTCAGGCAACAATAAAATTAGCCATCCTTAACTGGGCTTAACATTGACAAGCCTTACATTGACAAGCAGCGTGAAGTGGGGGATGTTGACAATATTACTATATAATAATCAAAAGGTTATCAGTAAACACTCAATTTGGGAGTAACCAAACAAAATCTATGGGCATGTCCAACAAGGGTAAAATCACTTGCATATGTGTCACTTGTAAGACCAAACCTTGAATATGCTGCGACATTATGGGATTCATATATCATACAAAGACAGATAAACTGGAAAGGGTACAGATCCAAGCCACAAGATTCTGTAGTGTACAGAATTTTCTTCTTACACAACCAGTAAGTTTTCACTTACGTTTCGATGTCCATGACACCTTGTTTGTATGGACAAGTATGAAAGGGTGCAGTTTCACAGAAAAAAAAAAAAAAAAAAACCTACACTGGAATGCAGAAGAAAAATGTCCAGACTACGGACAATGGACAATGGACATTGTGTTCAAAATTACGTATAAACTGATGGACGTACCAAATACGAAGTACCTAATACCAGTACAGAAAAGAATATTGTCATGCCTTCAAGTATCAGAGATATCAACCAAGGATTGCGGTGTTGATTGTAGAGTGGAACTCGCTGTCAATAAAAGTACACTACGGGTATCATCACTAGATAGTTGTAAACAACATTTAAAGTTACATATGCAAAGGTTAAGTGTAACAGCTAGTTCGGTGTAATATAGCCGACCCGTGTACATGTAGCATGCCTGCGAAGCCAAGGGCATTTATACATGTATACCAAGGCTATACAGATACAGAAACTATCAGAAGGCTCCCAGCAACAGGCTTGTTATGGTTTCTACTCCAAATCCATTTGAAAACCTTTGCTATGATAGTATGAAAGTCAGAAGTGTCAATGCACAGAATATTGCAAAACATGTATATTATACAATCATTATGTATATCATGTCATACATCTATTTGACTGATTAATGTTCAAGGGCAGCAGTAACATATCAATCCTTTTACTGACATGTAACACGAACAGTGTTATATACAGTGTATACAGTGTACAATAATTTTAATGGCAAAGTTTGTAGAAACTTTGATCAAATTGCATGATTATAACTGTCTATTGTACAATAAATGTGTCTTTCAAGCTACATGTACAAGCATCTAAAGCTCTTTTCTAGTTCCTGAAGCACATTAGTCCTTGAAAGTCAAACCTGTCCTGAGGCTATATATTGTGTTTATTAAGTGTAAATAAGGGGCATTGTAACTTGTTCCTGTTGCTATATATATATATGGGGACTTATGACCTTTGCTCCCTCAAGGTTCCTTACAGTCAAAACAACTGACACACTGTATGCTGATTCTGCACAACCACACATGTACACAATCATGTAACTGAGTGTCTATTTTCAAAACTGTGGTCTACAATATTGCCTCCTGTGACAGCAATTATCTTAACCTACAGAATATCACCATCATTGTACTGTAGTAGTGTTGTGTATTTAGCTGTAACGTTACTTTTGAAAGGGTAATGGTCCTTAATCGTTGAGGCATTTTTAAGTCTAGTTCTCAGGAAGATTAATGGGGCTTGAACGAGAAACTGATAGTACAGATTGAAGTCGATAAAGCATAAAAATCAGTCATATAAGGAGTTTTTATGATTGGAAAAACATTAAATTTTACTGTATTATTATTATGTGGAATGGACCTTTAATAAAATTATTAGCCAAGCCATATTTCTTGCAATGTCTTCCTTAAATCAGTAGTAGTTTCTCTCAGTTTATCTACAGCATTTTACATTACAGTTATTGTATTCATTGTTTTATACAATGTTGAGTATGCAACTTAACAAATGGTAGTATTTTCAAATCAAGTTTGTCCTACGTTTACATTCACCAACTTTTGTAATAAAAAAAATAACACAGTACCTTGACGAGTAGAACTGCATAGTTCCTATGCAGGCCAATAGGTTTCTACTGTATACATGTATCTGCCAAGTGTTGGTCACTTTGAAAACCCTCTCTTTTACATTGGCAGGTAAGGTACAATGTAGTGGAAGTAGTACAATAAAATAGCTCATATACATTTTATATTTGACAATATAGAATGTTCAATAACTTAAGATTTTGTCAAATAGATAAGTACATGTACTGGTATTAGAATTTCATAGCTATTCAAAGACCTTAAAGTTTATCTTGCTCTCTATCTATGGGTTTCTTACACACAGGACAGCCTGCTAACTGTAGCAGACATGTTTCACAGCTGTTGTAATGTCCGCAGGGCTGGATCAGGTGGGACCTTTTGGTGTGACACATCGAGCACACATAACACTGATTCTGTGCAAACCGACGTAACAAAACAATAGGTTACAAAATCAGCTCCTCGTATTGACAGCATTGCTAAGATGCTCTGTTGCGTATCTGACAATTAGTATAACTACATGTGACTTTACAAAAACCTTTTAAATTGGAATCCAATTGAGTTAAATTTCATATGAAGATCAAACTTTCAACATCACACATTCATTTATCAAGATCAAATATTTGTTGTTTGTAATTAAGCCTCCAGCTGGAAGAGTGACTGACTTTGACTACCTTTTCTGCAGCTCTCCCCTGTAGTGTTGTACCTTGTCCACCAGTACATGGTGCTGGGATACCAGGGTGTGGGGGAAGTTAGCATTTTCCCTCTCCAGGGTGCCCAGTCTGGCATTCCTGTGGTCCAGGGTGTGTCTGTATATGACTACATCTTCCTCCAGCTTACGAACATGGAAGTCTTTCTTTTCAAACTTAACCTAGAAGGGATTAAGCCATGCCATTATTCTAAAAGTCTGCTGTTTTTAAAATGTAATCTTTACCAAGATGAACTGCATTGTATCAAAGTGCTGTTTTGCAATAATAAAGACATTTGGCTGTACATGGAATGGCATGGGAACTATCTCTCTCCCGAAGCTATAGCATTGACTTTGTTGACAGTCATGCATCATGAAACTAACAATTCTATAGTATGGTAATATTTTTTATTAGTCATTACATGTACATTTACGAGTAATATACCATAAATATGGAACAAACAATATAAAAGGTTGTGCAGTAGGTACAGCATGCACTCTATAACTAACCTTGAACTGTGCCTTGAGTTTCTTGACTTCTGCCTGAAACATCTTTCAACCTGGTGTAGGCATCATGGTAGCTGATCTCCTTGTTCATGAATCCCTTCCTGCCGGAGATAGTTTGGTGGTGAGTTTGTTCAGTTCTGTCTTGTTCCTCTCAGCCACCTGTTTTACTTGTTACTGAAAAACAAACAGATTCAATATAATTCATATCACCTTCTTTCTGAAGTCTTCACAGAGCCCTAGAATGTCTGCACAGTTCTCCAAGTTCACTTCACAGTACAGAAATTCAGCACACATGTCTAACACTTCTGGCACTTGAAGAAAGTTGGCAGTCACCATGACATCTTGTACAGTCTCAAGACACAGCTCAAGCTCAGTGGTATAGATAAAGTGCAGGATTTTTGCAAAACTGTCTGAAGAAATTCCTTGTAGTTTGATCATGTCATCTTGACTGTCCTAGGAATAGAAGTATGGGCAACAACATGCAAGTACGGCGCAGTCTGAGAAAAGTGTCTTCCCCTCCACGCAAACGGCTACGTCACAGAACCTCTGAAATGTCTGGAAGATGTAGACGTTTGGGTAAAAGACTTCCTGCAACATCTTAGACGATGGAACTTCTTCTGGTTCAAACTTGGCACCACCACCGGAGTACAGTTGTTTAGTGTCCACTGGCGATGTCCGTGGTGCTGAAATGGTACATGTACGACTATCTTAGCTTGGCATGGCGCCCCTAAGCCACTCCGAACCTCCGTAGAGAGCTCAGACACGGCCGGAGTGCAGCGATTGAGCGCTCACTGGTCATGTCCTTGGTGCTGAAATTGGGGTCCCTAACCCATACTGTACATGTATATACATTATACGGCCTGTCGGACACTTTTTCATTCCAAACAGCATGTGTGTGTGAAGCATCGGAGCCTGTCCGAGCTTGGCGCGTCTTGCCCTTGCCGCCCCAAGCCTCCGTAGAGCGCTCATCCTCCTCGGGAGTACAGAGATTGAGCGCTTACTGGTGATGTCCTTGGTGCTGAAATCGGGATCACTAGCTAGGTAGTCTCGTGCCCAGAGTACCTACTGAGAAGCTGTACACAAGTCGTACGGAGTCCTGGGTACGAGATTGCAACGTCCCGGTGTTGAGCCAAATCCTTGAGCTGCCAAATACGTGAGAGGCCAGGTGTTTAGGGCTAGGGTTAGGGTTAGGGTTAGGGTTGGTATCAGAGTTAGGGTTAGGGTTAGAATTATTGTTCAGGGCTAGGGTTAGACTTACAATTGGGGTTAGGTTAGGTTCAGTCTCTCACGGGTATATTGGAAACCCCCAAGTAGTGTCGGAGTCATGTATTTGGCAGGATCATGTATCTGGCTTGACACCGGCAGGGACTCTCTCTTCAGGTCCGCGAACATGAGGTTCCGGGTCGGAGTTTAAATCTGACCAGAGTAAGTGCGCAGTAAGTCGCCGGAAACGTGACTTTGTATATTGTATGTTTTGGCCGCGATATTCCTGATATCTTAATATTTGTGTACATATCTTTGTATTTTTTGAAAAGCCTGTTAGTTGTAGCCTTAGAGGTGGCGTAATGTTGGTGGTCCAGCGAAGACTTCCTGGTATTAGTCCGCGCGGATGGTTATGTGGCCTTTTCGCCGGATTCCTGGGATGGTGCGTTCTATACGTGGGTTGTGGGTGTGTCCGGGCCATCGAAGATAGCGATAAACTTATCGCATCGATTTTAATTAGATTTAAATTTCGGAAACATTAGGTACTGAGCTTCTTCGAGTACTAAGTCGTTACCCTGAGAAAGTTCTTTTTTTCCGTGCAGCCAAGGTAAAAAATGACGAAAAAAAGAACCCCTTACTTGAAAATGTCTTTTTCTAGGCCTGATTCACCGCTAAATGAATTGGGCGCACAAAATATCAATCAATTGTATTGACAAGCGGCACAGCACCCCTTTCAACCAGAAGAGTGGAAAATTCCCATCTGCGTTTATTACAGAAATGACAGCCCTTCCGGCTGAGGGTGTCAATTTGCTACGAATACGGAAAGAAACTCCGGTCCGAGACCATGACCGACGCCGAGCATCTCATGGTATGCCGAGAAGGGCCTCACGTCATCACTGCAGGCCGTTCGAATGGACCTATCACATTATTACGTCACAGTTTGTTTACCGCAATGAATGCCGGTCAATCGACGTTTATATTGTACAGGGGTGCGTAGCGCGGTGTGTGTTTGTGTAGCGTTAGCCTTGATATAAGGCTTTTAATACAGTATTACTTTCCCCTAAGGTCACAACTTAATCACCCATTACGGCATGTAATGCTGAATCAACAAAACTAGACGCAGCAAAAATCAAACATGCCTGACTTTGAAAACTTTGAAATGATCTTTATTCTTTAACTGACCGTTCTAGAATGTTCTTTAGAACAGGTAAACAAACTGTGACGTAATGATGTGATAGTCCATTCTGTTCGACCCGCTGGCCGCTCAACCCGCGCTCGTCATGACGTCAATGGCGCGAGACGGTCCGTTTGTGGACACCTCATTTGCTTGCAAAACCAAGGAGATACACAGAACACCACAGTGTACAGTCTCCTTTTGTCCCTGTCAAAAACAGTACTCTACTGATACGGTTTATTTCTTATGTGTAATGATCTTTTTATCTGTATAAAAAATTATATGTGTTGATTTTATAAGTCCCTTTTAAACCTCCTTGGTGAAACCAGCAGCGATAAGCAATCACTTAGTTTGTCTATCCCTCCACTTTCTTATGGAGAAGGTAAATAAAGAAACAAAATGCCGCTTTACATGAAACGGAGAAGATACTAGTACTGAAAAGACGGCACATCATTGTGTTGTCACTAGACGGCGTCATCGTGTAATGTAAGATGGAGGCAGAAACTACGAATATGTACACCAAACGGGTACTTTTCTTTTGTTGGTGCCACACTAATAAGGATCGTTTGATAACAAAAGAGACAGTATGGTGGGTAGCACTTGATACCTATCACATCAAATTATAGCTACGTCATCAAGATATTTCCGTATATTCTGTCACTAAAAAAGGCTAAAGTTTGTTAGATATCATCAAAATTTGGAAATGACTACCATCTAAGTGTCACGACAAACTTACATGGAACCTTGGACAGGTTTACTTGCAGGGGGTGTACAAAATCATTTTCATCAGGACCTGTTGATTGGCACAAGTTAGCCAAAACCAGGAGGCACTTACAATTGCCGATCACTTGAACAGTAAATACTCAGTCTGGTATGCAATAATAGCGTCGCCAAGAAACTGAACAAACAAATCCAGTCTCCACCAGGCCTTACTATACAGGGGTACGGATCGTATAACTCGGCAAAAAGGGGAGTCAGGGTTGATTTCCCCGTCCGAAGAACGAATGAACTCTGTGGTGGCTAAACTCTTCAGGCCAGTTCTTCTCCATATTCGACTAAATTTTACTGTTTTTTTAACTGTCCTGCACTGCATCTTTACATGACAGGCTATCTCGCATATGAAAATAATTTAAGATATCACCAAGTAAGATATTTGTAACAATTTAAGACGTATACGTGGACGAGACACTTGATGTCATTGATGTTGAGACGATCGTGTAGATTTTGTACCCGATGATGTTGTCACTCTGTTGTCTGATATGTACCTGCCATTGAATTTAAAGCAGACACAAACACAACTGTGCCGTTGGCTAAATACTGGGCATAATATATAGGCGTGTCAATTTACCCTGCATGTTTGGTCTTTGCAAGTGTGAAAGGTAGTTTATGCTTGAATTGGGGACAATACGGGTGGACACAAAGCAGACGCCAAACAGCTTGTAACAGAACACCAAACGGGCCTCCAGGCGAGGAAGATGACCTTGGTTTTACTCTGTGTTGTGTCACAACTTCTTGCGTTTTTACGGAATACTCCATTTTTTTCGGACTGATATTGATGTATATTTCCGGAGAAAAAATTCAGCTGATCTTCCTGATACCAAGTAAATGCGGGTCAGACCGATAACTTATCTATCTCTAGGAACTACTTATTACCTTAAGTGGTTATGTTTTTGTCGCGGATGAATATGAGAGGTAAAACGGTGACACAAAACACATACCTGAGAGTACGCTTTGTTAACATTTGGGGAAACATGGCATCATAGCAATTCTCATATGGCGACGCAAATTCATCCCCTATCGTGTGACTGCTTACACGGTTTTTCTTCATGCTGGATAAATTATGTTAGGTTACACTGCATAGAATTAAGCCCACACGAGAAGTGTGGACACTTCAAATGGGGTCTCTCAGCTAGTTTGAGAAGCTAGTGCTTAAAGGCGCCTAAGCTGAATCATACCACTGATCTAACATGTCCATTAGTGGTGTCCTTAAACTGCTAATGCATATCACATCATGGGTACATTGCATTTCAAGCAGAAAGTGGTGGTATATACAAGGATAACAATTTTGGTATCTTATGTTTTTAGGAAGACCTTGTAACTTTGTAGTGTACTAGCTTGCGTTTGACTAAATAATAACATACTTAAATTCTACAGTCATTGAGTGACTTTGACATATGTGTTTAATTACTTTATAATCCTTCATCTGTTCTAATTTGGGCAGGCCTGTGTGATCTCACAATTTAAGTGCAGATAAGACTCCGGGAAAAATAGTGTGACATTCACACAAACAAACAGATATTAGTCTAGACATTTGTTCAAAATATTTTTATTGAAAATTTCAAACCATCAAGCAAGATAAGTCCATTGAACCTCTAATAGGTACACACGTTTCCTATTTGAGCTTTAGTCACCACTGAGCACGTTGTTCTCACGGTCCATGTCAGCTTCAACCAGCAATCTTCTCTTTTGAACCCTACAGCACTTCCGTACAAGATCCCAGGAAAAAGACATGTGAGTGTTCGCATAGTGACGTCTGATACGCCAGACCTGTTAATCTTGTATTATATTTGATTCCCTTGATATCATCCAAAGCACACGTTTGTTCAATCCAGCATATTCAAGTCTGCTATAAGGTTCTGCAAAGTCCGAGTGTCCTCCACGTATTAATTCGGCCACCCACGATTCTCTGGATGAATAAAGAAGAATGACTGCATCTCCCCATTCTCTACATATCCTGCCATCCAGTATTTATTGGCGCCTTCTGCAAATTTGCCTTCCCAGTATGTCCTAGTACCTTTCGGCTTGAACCTATTATACTTCCGAGCGTCATTATACGCCATCCGACAGCGCGAGGCGAGACGATCGTCAGTCCATACATTTGGATCGAAGACAGTTTTCAACTGTGGTGCAAACTTGAACAGAATCCCGAGTCTTTTACACGTCGGACTCCGGATAGGCGCTTCACCACCACAGCAGTTGGTACTAGTAAACATACAGCGGGCCATTTTCCATGTATCTCCGGAATACGGTGCGATTTGTTGGTGTACATTCTTTGAGTCTGGATTGGGTACATCTTGGCGACACGTCACCCGAACGGCGTAGACTCCCTCGGGAAGGCCGTCTCCAGGTAGTTTGGTGACTGCAGCCACAACTAAACCCCTGGACTGAGCGCTCAAAAGAGAGTGGAGGTTGTGACAGCCTTGCACCCATTTCTTCTTAGTTATGAATTCGCGATTGTGATCTAAAGCACGGCCGAGACCAACGTTGGGATCTTGTGCCACAGCCATATTGCAAAAAGTGCTAATACCCTCTTCCAACTCAAGGGAAAATTCATTTTTAAGACAGTCAACTTACTCGTGACCACATATTAAAACAGAGTTGTTCAGTTGATGGCCCTGCCACCTACCATATGTAACGATTAGTCCCGGAACACCTTTTTGAAGACGTCACAGAAGGTCACTTAGCAACCTCAGGTGAGGCACCGGCCATTGTGTAATGGGCCTACCCACGGTGCGTGTGCGTGTGCATGTAGTAGTCCGCCGGACATACCAGTTAAGAGTCGAACATAACATCTCTGCTTAAACATGGCTACAACCTCCTGGGCACAGCAGTTTACCTGTAAATGGGTCGACGATGGGAGGCTGGACATGTCTGGGTTTCCTGAGGACGCGCCAGCGTGCCTGACGTTGTACCTAACCTCCATTAGGTCAGAAGAATGGAACGCGGTTCTGGAAATGATAGAAAATGGCGAAGGGCACTGCTCTGCTAATGAAACCGGAATTTTGTTTTCAGAGGATTATGAATCATCCAGCGAATCGAGTAGTGAAGAGGAAGAAGAGCAAGGCCCGCTTCCGGAAGATGAAGTTGCATTTTTTGCGGGATGCTTCCCGAAAGACCGAGTGAAGAAGACTGTGTTCCTTGGCATTATGGAGACATGTTTGGAAGAACGAAGGAAGCAATGTACTACATGTAAATGTCTCGATTTAGACTGTGAAAAACAGTTCCTGGATTACGTGCACAGAGAAACGAAGTCCAAGGGTGCCACAGATCAAGAGATAACCTGCCAGGAAAGCAAGGGTAAGTTTGTGACATGTTATTACTTAGTCTTTCAACCAAAGCAATATCCTTCGGGTTTCTGCTACTTTTACACGTTTATCTTTACCATGCCCGTCTTTATTTTTGTCCTATCGGTGGGGCAGATTTCGAAAGACTACAAAATTGGCATAATCACGCATCTTTACTGCGGTTGTTTAACTTACATGAAACACCATTGACGATGCATGTACATGCATCTACTAACAAACACTTCGCACTCTTAACATCTAATGTTGCGTGGTGTACTTGGGGCATCATTTCACCAGCAGCGAGATTCTGTGGATTTTGTATCACATTATATTCGCCGATTCTCGCATCATACACGTTTACACCAACCTGAAATTAGCCCTCCTTTCGGTCGTCGATTCGCAGCCTTCGATTAAGCCTTCGATTCGACTTGGTAGGCATTATTTCGTAGAAGTCTTGGGCGCGGGAGCATTCTATTGTCCCAAATATGCAAATGAGCACGCATACGGTTTGTAAATAGACATTACACGTACGTATGTCAAACCAAACCACAACCTTTCAGACTCTATATTCATTTGATTAAAACATTCTCTAATTTTAAACAACGAAATGAGTTTTTATCATCTTTAAGTGGTCAATACTATCGAATTGAATGAATTAAATCAACGCACATAGATTCATCTTGAACCGCACCCGACATGTAACAAACAGACGCCTTCTTGCAAAGTAACGAAATAATTTTCAGTATTCAAATGGATTTTAACAATATTTTAGAGTTCCAGACCACCAAATAAAACTGATAAAACTAACGCATATTGCGTCGTTTTGACGTCATGACGCCATAGATTAAAGTAGACGGATTTTGGAGGATTGCAACAATAGTGTATGCATATATATTGAACGCCATGTTGCAAAGTCAAGGAATAATTTCTATTAACCAAATGTCTTTTAAACAGTCCCAAAAGGTCTACACCACAAGACTCGACTAATAAAACTAACGCACATTGCATCGTTTTGACGTCATGACGTACTAGTACGGTACCTAATTTAGGAACAACATTTTAGTTCTCAAATCAATTTTAGCAATCTTTTTGTTGTCCATACCATAAAATAAAACTGATAAAACTAACGCACATTGCGTCGTTTTGACGTCATGACGTCATTGATTCAACCAAACAGATTTGTAGGGCCTGAATCCCTGTTTATATGATATTCAACTGCTCGTAGCTAATTAACGAAATAATTTTAAGTTTTCAAATCAATTTATGAAATCTTTTATAGGTCCATATCATTGAATAAATCTGATAAATCTAACGCACATTGCGTCGTTTTGACGTCATGACGTCATAGATTAAACTATACGGATTTGTACGGCCAGAATTTCTGTTTATATAATGAAATTCAACTACTCGTACCTAATTAACGAAATAATTTTGTTCTCAAATCAATTTTAACAATCTTTTAGAGTTCCAGACCATCAAATAAAACTGATAAAACTAACGCATATTGCGTCGTTTTGACGTCATGACGTCATAGATTAAAGTAGACGGATTTTCGAGGATCACAACACTAGTGGATGCATAGATATTGAACGCCATGTTGCAAAGTCAAGGAATAATTTCTATGAACCAAATGTCTTTTAAACAGTCCCAAAAGGTCCACACCACAAGACTCGACTGATAAAACTAACGCACATTGCGTCGTTTTGACGTCATGACGTCATAGATTAAACCATACAGATTTGTAGGGCCTGAATCCATGTTTATATAATGATATTCAACTACTCGTAGCTAATTAATGAAATAATTTTTAAGTCTCAAATCAATTTAAACAATCTTTTAAAGGTCTATACCATCAAATAAAACTGATAAAACTAACGCACATTGCGTCGTTTTGAGGTCATGACGTCATTGATTCAACCATTCGGATTTGTAGGGCCTGAATCCATGTTTATATAATGATATTCAACTACTCGTAACTAATTAATGAAATAATTTTTAGTTTTCAAATCAATTCTAACAATCATTTGGAGGTCCATACCACTAAATAAAACTGATAAAACTAACATTGTGTCGTTTTGACGTCATGTCATACCGTCATGTCATGTCATGTCATGCAGAAAAATTCAATTATATATGACGCGTTGTAGCAATGTAACGAAATAATTTTCAGTATTCAAATGGTTTTTAACAATCTTTTAGAGGTCCATACCATCAAATACAACTAATAAAACCAACGCACATTGTGTCGTTTTGACGGCATGACGTCATAGATTAAACTATACAGATTTGTAGGACCGCAACCGCAGCCTATTTAATAATACATGTACTAGTATTAAACGCCTTGAAGCAAAGTAACGAAATAATTTTTAGTAATCAAATAACTTTTAACATGTCTTAAGTTATCTACACTTTCCGATTCAACAAATAAAACTAACGCACATTGCGAAGTTTCGACGTCATGACGTCATAGATCAAACAATACAGATTTGCAGGACCGCATTGTATTTAAATAATACTAGCATTTAACTCCTTCATGCAAAGTAAAGAAATAACTTTAAGTAACCGAATGGCTTGTATCAATCTCTTAGTGGTTTATACTATCTGATTCAATAAATAAATCTAACGCACATTGCGAAGTTTTGACGTCATGACGTCATAGATTAAGTAATAAAGATTTGCAGGGCCGTAACCGCGGTCTATTTTATTATGCTTAAGGCGTTGTAGCAAAGTAAGGAAATAATTTTCAGTAACCTAAATAACTTTTAACAATCATCAAGGAGTCCATTGTATCAGATGCAACCCAAAACACTAACGCACATCACGTTGTCTTGACGTTATGACGTCATAGATTGATTCAAGTATACATATTTGCAAGCCTACTGTAATCATACAGATTAAACGCCAAGTTGCAAAGTAACGAAATAATTTCTATGAACCAAATGTGGTTTAAAAATTCTCAAGAGGACCATACCAAAAGATCAACCTAACGCACATTGCGTCGTTTTGACGTCATGACGTCATAGATTCAACCATACAGATTTGTAGGGCCTGAATCCCTATTTTTATAATGATATTCAACTACTCGTAACTATTTTTTAGTTTTCAAATCATTTTAACACTCTTTTAGAGCTTCATACCACCAAAGAAAACTGATAAAAACTAACGCACATTGTGTCGTTTTGACGTCATGACGTCATAGATTCAACCGCACAGATTTTGAAACATCGCAACCCTAGTGAAATCATTCAGATATAAACATCCTGTAGTGAAATAATTTTCAAGAACCAAACGACTTTTAACGATTTTTAAGCGGTTCATGTTATAAGATTTGACTGAGAAAACTGACGCATGTTGCGTCGTTTTGACCTCATGACATAATACATGTTGCAGGATGTACAATTTGCAGGACCACAACCCCAGTGTATTTTATGACATTATACAACTTGTAGCAAATTAACTAAATAGTTTTCAGGTACCAAATGCCTTTCGACAAACCTTTAGTGGTCCATTTTATCAAATACTAATGATAAAGCTAACGCTCACTGCGAACCTTCGACATCATGACGTCATCGATTCAACAATACAGCTTTCCAGGACCGCAATCCTAGTGTAATAATAAAGATTATACTTTATGTAGAAAAGTAACGAAATAGATTTTAAGAACCAAATGACTTTTATGAAATTTTAAGTGAGCCATACTATTAGATTAGACTGACAAAAACTAACGCACATTACGAAGTTTAGACTTCATGACGTCATAAATTCAAGTATATATATTTTCAAGGATCGCAATTTGGTGATGAGGATTGAACGGCATGTAGCGAATTAACGAAACAATTTAATAATTAATAACCAAAGAACTTTTAACAATTCTTACGTGATCCATACTATCCAATTCGACTGTGAAAACTAACGCACATTGCGTCATCTTGACGTCATGACGTCATGATTTCAGAATACAGATTTCCAGAAACGCAACCACGGTTTATTACTTTCTAGCAAAGGAACGAAATACTTTTCAGTAACCATATGGCTTTGAACAAGTCTTAAGTACAATCAGATTCAACCGAAAAATCTGACGCACATTGCGAAGTTTGGATGGCCTGACGTCATACATTGAACAAGACAGATTTTCAAGGATCGCAACACTAGCGTAATCATTTATTATGTATACAGATTTTTAAGAATCACAACACTAGTGTATGCATAGGGATTAAAGTCCTTGTAGCAAAGGAACGGAATAATGTTCAAGAACCAACTTAAACAATTCAAGATCCATGCTATACGATTTGACTGATACGACTGATGACATCATATACTCATAAATACAGATTTCTAGAAACGCATCCCTTGTGTGATAATAGAGATTAAACGCTGTAACAAAATAATTTCAATAACCAAATAACTTTTAAACAATTTCTATATTATATACTATCAGATTCAATAAAAAAACTAACGCACATTGCGTAGTTTTGACATCATAACGTAACAGTTTCAGGAATACAAATTTGTTGGACCGAAAACCTGGTGTGATGCGGAACGTCATGTAGCAAAGTAACGAAGTAATTTTACTGGCAACCATATTGTAATCACAGCAATTCCATATAACAAAATGACTTCTAATCTTTTAGTGGTCAGGATGACAGGGTGATATTCAACCTCTGATACAATGGACTCCTTGATGATTGTTAAAAGTTATTTAGGTTACTGAAAATTATTTCCTTACTTTGCTACAACGCCTTAAGCATAATAAAATAGACCGCGGTTACGGCCCTGCAAATCTTTATTAATTAATCTATGACGTCATGACGTCAAAACTTCGCAAGTGCGTTAGATTTATTTATTGAATCAGATAGTATAAGCCACTAAGAGATTGATACAAGTCATTCGGTTACTTAATCTTATTTCTTTACTTTGCATGAAGGAGTTAAATGCTAGTATTATTTAAATACAATGCGGTCCTGCAAATCTGTATTGTTTGATCTATGACGT